TTTGGCAAAACTGGGGATTGAACTCAGGCTTGCGCTTGCCGAGGAAGCACTTATTCCACTGAGCCATCTCTCCGGCCCCAAGGAGGTGGTTCTGAAGTGAGTGACAGTCCCAAATAGTGTTCCCAGAGCTTCTTTGTGACTTGTGGCAAGGAGGGTGCCCCATACTGACTCCCTTCTCCCTTTCTTAGGATTAGTAGTCCCCAAACTGGACTACGCTGGTTTCACAAGTCCCCCATACCCACAAGTTTGCTGCACCCCAGCAAAAGGAATGCAGCCCGTGTGTCTCTGAAGAAGCGGCAGCCTCTCCAGGACTGGTGGGCAAGGTAAAGGGTCTGGGAATACTCACCTTCTGGGAGCCAAGCACGCTCAGGTCAGACTTCAGGAAAACCAGTCGACACACTCAGAACTGCACACTCGCACAGACAGGCACACTCACATGCAGGACAGAGGTCCACACGGATGGATACGTTCTCACCTCCTGGCAGCACCCAGCCCACCGCTTCCGGCTGGACTCACTTTGAAAACCTCAGCCTGTCTGTCTGTTCCCCCTACCCACCATGTCAAGTCCCCCAGAGTTTGGCCCCTTGATTCTGTCACAGGAGGGGCTAGGCTCAGCTCTGTGTGGCCACTGTGGATGTCACTTGCTTGGGATGGAACAAGTGGCCTCTTGATGGTTTCCATCAGTCTTTGCGAGATAAGGACAATGCTATGGGAAGCAGGAACCTCTGCAGAGCGCGCTTCACTTGAGTCCATGGGGACATAAGGATCCCGGACGGAATAATGGACACTCCTGGTTCATTTCACTTCGGAAGAGCATAGGCCCAGAACTATGTACAGCTTCATCGTACTATCAAACCTTGTTTCAAGGGCCCTTGGAAAAAGGTCTGTGGATGAGAGTCGGGAACGGGGGCCAGCATGGCTTGGGGCTGGGTCCTGCCTGGCCCTGTACTTGGCTCTCTCTGCTGACCTGAAGTCATGGTCATGGGAGAGAAGATGAAGGTCACATTACCCCAGGTAAGTAGCACTAGGGCAGGCTGCCATTCTGCGCTCTGGAACACGCTGCTCCGTGTGCTGAAGGGCCCTTGTCTAGGACTCTGGAGCTTATGTAGAGGCAGTGCCCCTCCACAGCTTCTTTCAGTTTCATCCAGGTCGCCAGTCACCAACCAGCACAGTGGAGGGGGCCACTCAAAACCTATTTTTCTGAGTGTAGTAGGGGCTGAGCTGGAGGAGTCTCTCTGGCTTTCAAGTGCTTCAGCCTCTATGGGACCTTGGCTGGCTTCCCAGCCTTTCCTCCTTAGGCCTTCTGGCTGGCCCTCTCTGCCCTAACCCATTCCTGCAGGAAGGCCTGAGACAGGTGATGGGCTCTGGCTACCTTGGTTCTGGGCTTTTACAGCGAGAAACCAGCCTTCAGTGAGAGTGGGGCATTTTCTCAAAAACTAGCTAAAATGCAGAGGCCAAGCCACCTGTCCATTTCCTCGTCCATCTGCTTTGTACCCCCAAAAGCGGAGAAGGGTGCAAGCCCTCTCCCTCTTTAGGATCCAATGCTTTTTCCCCAAACAAGGAAGTCATTGAGGCCTTGTAATTTCTCTCCAGCCCATACATGCCACTGGGCTGGAAGCCGCTGTAGCCTTTGACTTCAGTATCTGGTAGGTGTGAAGTACCTATTTCCACAGAGGCTGTAAGGGTTTTTTTTTTTTGTTTTTTTTTTATGGGCTGTATGTGGACTACATCTGCAGTTTGGGACTCAGTGGCATGAATTCTGCATTCTGAGGTTGACCTGTACACATGGAGTCTATGCTCTGCGGGCCTTGAGTGGATGCAGCTGGGAGAGATTTTGTTCCGCTCTCAGCAGATGCAGCTGTGGGCCACACTGGGTCTAAGGGTGATGGAGAGCCGAGGCAGGTGGGTGAAAAGGCTGCACCGTGGCGCTAGACCACAGCACGCAGTAGTCTCTCTTTTCATTTGATATAAAATTCAAAGCTTTTCCCTGGCCAGGGTGCTGCATGTTCTGAGGACTCTTCTCACCTCTCTGACCTGTGCTAATGACAGCAGGACCCTGGTTCCCTGTCGTCCAGCCAGGCCAGCCTCTAAGCTGCCTGCTGACCGCACCAGGTCTTTGCCCCAGGGCCTGACTGTTTTGCCTGGAACAGGCCCCCTGGATGAGCACTTTCAAGTATGGCTGTTTGCTCTCTTATGGGCCTCAGGCCCTGTGTCAACTTTTCAGAGTTTTACCCTGGTCTCTAGCAAAGCTTTTCCAATGCATTTCCTACTACATTTCCCATTCAGTCTTACCACTCTCCGCCATGTTTACTACCTCTGGCTGTCTTCTCCAGAACACCTTAGAAGGTGCTGCTGTAGCTCTCCTCTCTCTCCTCAGTACTTAGGATAACCTTGACTCAGAAAATGTACAAAGGATATTTGCTGCGTGAAAGAGTGTTTACCCTGGAGACCGTAACACCGCTTCCACATGGTTACAGGTCTTCCATGAGGAGGAACAAGCAAATGTCAATCAAGGGATGAGACAGGGCTGAAGATGCCAACTCTGTGTAAGAAAGGCCTGTCAGAGCTGGTCACACCGTGTGCAGGCCAGCTCCTGGTTGCTGGCGGCATTCAAGAGAGGGAGGACAACTCCTTGGCTTTGATACTGTAATGCTCGGGAGGTATTGTGTGCACCAGGGCCTTGAGTGGAGGGTGTCTGTGGGTCCTCTTCAACCATGTGAGCCTATTGTTCAAGTCAGTTGTTCTAAGCACCTAGAACAGGGACAGATTGCCTAACGCCAGTCTCCGCAATGCCTGCTGAGGACCTTTTTCTGGACCATTAACACCCTCAATCAATTCTCTTTTTAATCATGATCCTTGTAATTTTTTTTTTTTTTTTTTTT